AACTCTTTGAGGGAGATGGGTGGTTCAGAAATGTGAAATATAAATAAACAAACATTTGCATGTGTTTTTATATTTCAAACATGACTTTAAAGTAGAACCTGAGGTTATCAGAAGTCAACTAGAATGCAAATAACTTGTTGGCTATGGTTTTCTATAGAAATCAATTCTACAGAGTAGACAATATAGAGGACAGCACAATAAACGAGCTAGAAATGTCAGACAGCTCCAGACATTTTGGTACTGCAGGCAATAACAGTCGAAGCAAGATCAGCACAATCTTGAAAAAAATAAAATCAGGAAGGCACAAAAAGAAGGAAGAAATTTAGTAATGCTTGACTATATAAAATACATGTTCTCATTGCAAAAATAAGCAATATTCACAAGATACTCTCTAAGTTCCAGATGTGTCTACCAGCCCCCAAAGACTGGAAATCGCTAAAGCATGCATGTAAGTTGATGGTTTTTTCTGTCATGAATATAACTCTGCCAGAAATTCAGTTTTTCTTTTATTTTATTTCTACTTGCTTTACTACATTCTTCGAATATGATTATTGTATATTCTTATATAAGAGGACACTGTTTAGATAAACAGCATCAGCTTTACCAATTAAAAATAAACTGTCTTAATTAATTTTTATTAAAGCATAATTCTACTATCACCAAAGTACTTTGCATGTTAGTAGCATCTGCAATTCCCTCTTTTGGGGATACTGATAATTAATCAAGAAAAAAACTGACCATCAGTATTGAGACAGATGTATTCATAACAAAGGTTATGATATGATTTCTTATTCCTGAAGGTATTTCATGCCATGAAGCATTTCCTTGGGAGACCAAAGTGTACTAACAGATTTTATCATCAGTGAATTTCTTGATGCACTCATCTTAATTTTCCATATCATTGCATTTCACTTGAATCTAAGTAAGAGTTTTTACAGGGCTCTGTATCTTGCCATTATAGCAATGATGAGATAGAAAAGTATTCAACCTTTCATCTGAATAGCTAGTATAATTTTAATTGGAGGATGGTTATCTAAAAAGAATTTCAAGAGATAAATTATTGAGAAATAAGCCATCTAGAATTTAAACATCAGGCCTCATTAGTTGCAGCTGTCATGCTTGTTTCAAAAAGATAATATTCTCTTCAATTACATCTATGTAAGTCTTCAGTTCCTTTATGAAAATCACATTTTTATTTCATCCAGTACAGATATAATTTTCATTATATAAGAGAATCTTTATTAAAAATAAAGAGCTTCCTCTAAATGGGATAAACTTTCAGTACAGCAGCATGCCTTATTGGGACTATGAGTTGGATAAAAGCTTAGACATATTTAAAAGTAGCTCCACTAAAAACTATACATAACTTATTTCACTATCTTAAGTTATACCTACACCAATTAATCAATTTTTGGTATTCTTAGCCATGGAATCTCTTCTGAAGGTTCCTGATTAAAATATATAAACTACATTTGCACTGCATGCTTAGTCTTGGTTAACTCAATCATGGTTGATCACTTATCTGGGTTCAATATTCACACACTGAATCATACACAGGCTGAGTTTGTGCAAGACAAAGCAAAAATATGATCATTGAATTTGCATTGTAAAGACAAAGTTATGTAGTAGCTTTTGAATTGGATTACCAATAAATCTTCTGCCTGAGAGTAATGCTATTTCTGGTTATATTATTTGTTCGATTGCTTTAATATATACACCAGAGAGAAGCAAAAAAGAAAAAAAGAGAGCGAATGCACATGCAAATAGACAAAAGGGGAAAAAAAGAAATAACAAAAAGTTATATTACATACAAGAAATCATTTAGCCTAGTTTTTGAACACTCATTACAGAATAATGTTCACTATTCTACTGAGGAGGTGGCACAATAGTGGAAAATGTTAGATTACTTTCATAAGAAAGATACCCTTTACTCATAAGGTAGTCATCCAGTTGACTATTAGGTAAGAAGAGTTGAACCAGACAGCAAAAGAATCGGCGAGGTCACCTCATTGGATTCCTTTAAGTGGAAAATGGACAACTACAGTACCTATTTATTGTTCATATTGTTCATATTAGTAAAGTTGGAAGGGACCTTGGAGGTCATCTAGTCCAACCCCCTGCTCGGGCAGGAAACCCTACACCATTTCGGACAAGTGGCTGTCCAGTCTCTTCTTAAAAACTTCCAGTGTTGGAGCATTTACTGCTTCTGGAGGCAAGCTTCAATCTGGATTTTTTCCCCTCCAAAAGTCAATTGCAAAATTTCCTGTAGTTTTGGAGTGCAAAACATGATAAAGCTTATTATATGAAAAACAAAGAAAATGAAAGTTACCCAACAAAATATACAATGCTAACAAAATCCTATAATGACTCCCAAAATCATCTTGGAATAAATTACTAATTTAACTAGACTAACTTAACTTACTTGCAAGATGCAAAGAGGATTTTATGCACAAACTCCTAAGGGGAGTAAGTTCTAAAGAGTTTACTTACTTATTAGATTTACAATATATACCCATTTATTTATTTATTTGATTTTTATCCCAACTTTATTACTTTATAAGTATCTCAAGGTGGCGAACATAAATAATGCTCCTTCCTCCTCCTATTTTCACAACAACAACCACCCTGTGAGGTGAGCTGGTCTGAGAGAGAGTGACTGGCCCAGGGTCACCCAAGCTGGCTTTCATGCCGAAGATGAGACTAGAAGTCACAGTCTCCTGGTTCTGGCTTGTGCCTTAACCATTAGGCCACACTAGTATACTTCAGAACTCTTTTCTTCCATATCTATGGAGAGTCTCAGTCATCCAAGTCATAGTTATCCCAAAGGTGCTTTTTTCACGAAGAAACTGGACTTTCTTATTTTTCTTCGAAGTAATTTCGCTTCTCATCCAAGAAGCTTCTTCAGCTCAGAACTGAAAAAACTTCTTGGATAAGAAGCAAAACGTCTTCAAAGAAAAACAAGAAAGTCCAGTTGTCTCATGAAAAAGTACTCTGGGATCTTTTCTCCCATTTTTCTCTCATTTTTCTCCATAGCAACTGTGGGAAGTAGATTGGGCAGAGAAAAAATTACTGGACCAAAATCCCTCATTGAGCTTCTGTGGACTAAGTCTTGGTTTATCACAATCCTACTCTAAGACTTTAATTAATGCGTCACACTGGCTCTCAGTTTGCAATGTTTCTGTTGCTAAAAGACTTTAACAGAAACAAGACAGATTGATTAGCTGACCTGATAAAACCTCAAGGTTTGCAAGAGAACAAAGAAAATCAACAGGAGAAAAAACAACAACAGCATATTGGTAGTCCTCATGTTATGACCATTTGCCTTTTACAGTTGTAAGTTGTGATGGGCAAAAATCTGATTTTATGACCATTTTTGTAATGATCATTAAACACAGCGGTTATAAAGCAAATGAGGCAATCATTAACTAAGTCAAGTTTACTATGGGTTCCTTTAGCCAAAACTAAAAATAATCCAACCAGCAGTATTTTCAGCCCTATTGCTACTATCCTATTTTTAACAACAAAGAAATCTTGCTTGAAATGTCCAATTGCACAACTTCTGTTTGCTGCAACTCTCAATTAAGCTTTCCACATTTTTTGAAATAAATTCTAAAGGCTCATTTTGCCTGGAAATAGGGGAGAGGGGAACAAAACCATTTTTTTTTATTACATCTCTGTTTTTATTGTGGTTAAAGGGACTTCTTTCCTTCTCCTCCAACTAAAGAGCATGCTGGGAAATATACAGAAGGCCTTTTCAAGAGGGCACCTATACTCTAGTGATCATTTTAGTCTTTTGAAGAACATTAATTATGCCCCAAACTTTCTTTGGTAAGGAACAAATATGTTTGTTTCCAATCTTATGCCCTCCAAATAGAGTGGAACTATCACTCCCTTCACCTTATTATTCTCTTAACCTCCAGCCATTCTAGCTGGGAAAATAAATGGAGCTATAGTGCTCCATATGGAGGGAGGGTAGCAGGGCAATGCTAGGTGGTGATCATAGGAGAGCAAGCACAGCATGCTTGAAATGTACCATATTGGGAATTCCTAGAATAGGAAATTATTCTTCAGTCAGTAGGCATTGAGGTCAACCAGTAGACCATCTGGTGAAATATATAATTAATTAACATATGGTTATTTTTCTTTCGCCTACAGAAATTAAGCTTTAATCCTTTATTTATGCTTTACTCCTTCTACTCTGTTATGTAATTCAAGAAAGTAAGATAATAGTTTTACCTCTCAAAGATCGTCTGTGCTCTGGATTCAGAGCATACCTTCCAGGACTTCACATTCAGTACATGTTGATACATCTTTACATATTTCTAGGGACAGAGACATTAGAAAGTCTTGGGTATTTTGTCCCTCCCTAAAGGTTGACTGATTGTGTTGCTGTTTTCAACTCTTAGTAACCATGTAGTTTTTGTTCCAGATGATCTCTTCCACTAAAGGTTACTCAAGATACTCTATCCAAGTTATCCATGCTACCAAATATGATCAAAGTATTGTATATTTATCAGGCTTTCAGATGTACCAAACAATTGTGTAGCAGTATATTTTATTTGTACAACTAAACAGTTACCCATTTACCTTCTTCAGGCGAAGTATTTTAAAAGGGAAATTTTTATCCAAAACTTGCCTAAGTCTTTTTATTCCCCCACCACCTCCCCACATTCAGTGATTTTACTTAAGAGAAGCTTTTTAATTACAGGGACGTTTTCTCCACTCCAAAAAGCCACAGACAATCGCTAGGTCTGAAATAGGCAGAAGCCATCACTGCATCTGAAACATCCAGCCTGCAACTGCTTTCTTTCCCAACCACCCGAAGGCATCCTTGTTGGAACCGAGTCAAAGCTCAGGGAGCTCCTCTCCTCTTTCGCTACCTGCCAAGGGAGGGAGGAAGAACGAGCCCTGAGGCTCGGGGAGAACCCGAGTCTGAGCCCAAGGAAGCGCCCTTCAGCCGACCGAGGGAGACCACTCTCGCACCAGCGCAATCCAATTACCTGTGCGGCCATGAAGGAGAGGTCCATGATGCTGTTGGAGTCAGAGCTGCTGCTGCTGCTGCTCGTCGAGACGATGGTAACGAGGCCGCTCTCGCCGTCGCTGTTTCCCAGCCGGGACGCCTCTATGGGTTGCTGGGGAGCGGCTTCCCGCAGGATCAACTTGGGGCGCGTTACCAATTCAAGCTCACTAGGATGGCGGCGGAGCCGTGGCGTCTGCCCGGCTGCAATCAGCTTTCTCGGAACATGGTCGGCCGACAAGCTGGCCAGGCGAGACAGGCGAGGGCACCAGCGCCCGCAAGGTCGACGCCGAGGCTCCAGTCTCGGCGAGAACAAAAGCCGCGCGTGGAGCCGCCTGCGCGCCCCGAGTGGTCACGCCCTCCCCTCGGATGCCGCGTCCGAAAGAGCGGAGACAAGCTCGCGAGCCGCCCGCTCCTTCAAGGGAGGCTTCGGGGAAGAAAATGGGGTAGCCGCGGGGGAGCTTCTGCCCACCACCTGCTGACTGATGTAGTCGTGAGTAACACCCGCCCCCGGAAGCCCACTTCCTTTCCAGCAGCAGACGGCTCGTCTGGGACGCCCGATTCAAATTATCTATGGTCGTCGGATACAGGGCATGTTTTGTTTTGATCGAAGCGATTTAATCAACTGAAAGGCAGGTATATTATCCTCAACAGGTGTCAGCCGCTGCTACTTGTCAAGCGGGTAGCATCTTTACTGGGAAGAAAGTTCACACTGCACAGTCTTATATGGGAAGAGTACTTTTTATTCTGATTGAACAAATCTGACAGATTTAATCCAAATGAAGAGGTCATGTCCTTGATATACTGAACTTCCGTGAATGATTACCCAATTCTAGATTAGAAAGAAATAACTATTGGGGTCATTAACCAGCATAATGGAATTGATACTCAAATGTCCAAAGCTAAATTGACAGTATCTGGATAATTAGGAAAGGTGCATATCAACAAAGAATTTTGGCTAAAAAACAATAAATATTCAATCAAAATATGCTAGAGGATGTGCTTAGGCTACAAACAGGGAACAAAGGAGAAAATATATGAAAGTTAGCAATCCAGATAATATAAACTTTAAAACAGCAATATAAAATACAAATATATTGTAGATAAAACAATAAAATTACCCCAAATGGTTTTAAAAATTATAAACTTCTTATACAGGTCCCTGTCAAACCTGAAAGAAAATTTAGTATAGTAACTGTCATGGTATATACACATCAAAGCATAAACAAAATTAAAGTCAATGCTAACCTTGAGCAGGCTTGATTGCTCTTAATTATTCTTTGCCTAATTTTGCATGTGCCATGCAAAGTCTATCTGTCTACACACATAGCATACCTGATATCATATTGGTGGAAAGTATATACATTAACTACTTTAAGATACAGATCCTGATTGGTTCTTTACTGATATTTAAATGGCATTAGTTGTTACACTCAGATTGGTGATTTTCAATATAGTTAAACCAACCTTTAGGTTTACCTCTACCTTCCCCAGCTGCAGCATTTAGGGAATAAGTTGTGTGTTTAGTGCCAAGTCAGTTGGAAGCCAGGTTTCTTGCAGCAAGTTGATATAGAATATGGTTATGAAACTTATGAAGTTATTATTTTTACATTTTGATAACCAACTGGCCATGTTCCAACTAATTAGGGTAGCTTTGTTCTGATAAGCCTCATGTTAGTCCTCTATATGAATTTGAAGTGAACTCTTTATTGGAGATGCAAAGAGGAGAATTCTGGATCTCTTAAGGACCTCTCTGGTATACTGTACTCGGTGAACAGATGAATTACATCCCAGAGTTCTGAAAGAGTTAGCAGATATTATCTCAGAACCATTGTACCATATCTTTCAAAGATCCTGGAGCACTGGGGAACTACTAGAGGACTGGAAAAGAACTGACATGGTTCCCATCTTCAAAAAAAAAAAAAAAAAAAAAAGGGGGGGGGAAGTGGATCCAGGAAACTACAGACCAATCAGTCTAGGAAGATCCTGGAAAAGATAATCAAGCAACATATCTGTGAACACCTAGAAGCAAACAAAGTTATAATTAGAGGCCAATACAGGTTTGTCAAAAAATATATCATGTCAAACAAATCTTATTTCATTCTTTGACAAAAAGACTAAATTAATGGACCAATGAAATGCTTTGGACATCATCATCATCATAAAGTTGGAAGGGACTTTGGAGGTCATCTAGTCCAACCCCTGCTCAGAAAATCAGTTATGATTTTCTCAAAATGGATTAAATTTAAATATCCAAAATATTTCATACGTTTAAATCATCCCAATATTTTTACATTTCCCATATCATAAAAAAGAAGGGGAAAAGAAAAAAAATACTATACTACTTATAAATCACATTTCTCTTACTATAAAACCTCTTCATTTCCAAAATTTAACTATTCTTTTAACCATATTTAGACAATGCTTAGTCATATGATGCTCCATCTACTATGTCAAGAAATCTCTCTTAAGCCTGGTTCTTCAAGGACAACAAAAAAAGTTTCTTCCAACATATTAACAACAAGAAAAAAGTCAGGGAAACTGTAGGCCCACTAAAGAGAGAAGTTGGCAAGGAAATTACAGGCAATGGAGAAAGCAGAGCTGCTTAACTCATACTTTGCATCAGTCTTCACACAAAAAGAAACCGTAGCCCAACACACCAAAAAAAAAAAAAAAACCATTGCAAAAGACATACTAGAAACAAAAATCAAAGTAAGTAAGAAAATGGTAAGAGAACACCTATCCAACCTTAATGAATATAAATTACCAAGACCTGACAGATTACATCCCAGAGTTCTGAAAGAGCTGGCAAATGTTATCTCAGAACCGTTGCACAAATCTTTCACAAATCCTGGAGCACCGGGGAAGTACCCAAGGATTGGAAAAGGGCTGATGTGGTCCCCATCTTCAAGAAAGGGAAAAAAATGGACTTAGGAAACTACAGACCAATCAGTTTAACATCAATACTGGGGAAGATCCTAGAAAAAACAAATCTGCGAACAGCTAGATGCAAACAAAGTCATAACTAGCAGCCAGCATGGGTTTGTTAAAAACAGATCATGCCAAACCAATTTTATCTCATTCTTCGATAAAGTGACCAAGCTAGTAGACTAGTGAAACACAGTGGACATAGTATACCTAGATTTCAGTAAGGCATTTGACAAAGTGGACCACAACCTACTCCTTGGTAAGCTAGAAAAAGGTGGAATAGACAACATCACCACCCGATGGATCTGTAGCTGGCTGACAAATTATACTTAATGAGTAATCCTCAATGGTACTACATCTACATGGAGAGAAGTAAGAAGTAGGGTACTACAAGGTTATGTCTTAGGCCCAGTATTCTTCAACATCTTCATAAATAAATTAGATGAGGGAATTGAAGGGGAAACTCATCAAATCTGCAGATGACACCAAACTGTCAGGAGTGGCCAACATCCCAGAATTCAAACTCAGGATCCAAAAAGATCTTGACAAACTTGAACAATGGTCCCTATCCAACAAAATGAGTTTCAATGTGGAGAAAAGCAAAGTCTTAAACCAAAGGAACAAATACAGATTGGGTGAGACCCTCTACAGATTGTGAGAGGGACCTTGGGGTCCTAGTGGACGATCACTTAACTATGAGCCAGCAGTGTGCAGCAGCAACCAAAAAAAGCTAATATAATCCTGGGTTGTATAAACAGAGGCATAGAATCAAGATCACACAAAGTATTAATACCGCTTTATAAAGCCCTAGTAAGACCACACCTTGAACACTGAAGCCGATTTGGTCACAAAAAAAAAAGTTGAAAGTTTGGAAAAAATTCAGAGAAGAGCAACTAAGATGATCAAAGGTCTGGAGGCCAAGACATATGAAGAACAGCTGTGGAACTTGGGTTTGGCTAGTCTAAAGAAAAGAAGAAATAGAGGAGACATGATAGCAGTATTCCAGTATCTGAGGGGCTGCCACAAGGAAGAGGGGGTCAGGTTGTTCACAAGAGAAGCAGAGGGTAGGATGAGAAACAATGGTTGGCCGGTGGATCTGCGCGTGCGATGGCGGCTACTTTGTAGCCGTCCTCCTGGGTAAGTGTTTGAATCGCTATGAACAGCGGCCATCAGCTGTTCAGCGGTTCAAAATCCCCCTCCCGGGCAAAGGGGGGGAAGAGGGTTGTCTGAATAGTGGTAGAGCCACTCTCATGCACCCCCAAGGCTTTTTTTGGGGGGGGTGAGAGGGGTACTCCCACGGAGTTCAGACTGTCTCTGCTTCCCAGCTGCTTTTGTCCCTAGGGACAAAACAAGCCGCTGCAACCACCTCCGCGATTAAAGTGATCTGGTGAGTTTTTTTTAGAGGCGGACAGAGCTGAGTAGAGGATTTAGCTTTTGCTTTCTTTGATTTTATTTGGATTTTAAGTTTAAAGATTTACTTTTACTTTTATATTCCCTCTTTTTATTTTTTTTCCTTTTGTTGAAAGGGAAAGTAAAATGGCGATCGGCAAGCCTTTTGGTTTTTTTTTTTCCTTTGGGAAGGTAGAATGGCGATCGGCAGGCTTTTTGGTGTTTTTTTTATCTTTTTCCTTTTTTTAATGATTGGAACGGAATGTGGATTTGATTTTGATGTTGGGTTTGGATTTTAGAAGCATTATTATTTTTGTTTAACTTCTTTGTTTTGCTTTTTGTACTTTTAAAAAAATGGAATGGATTTTTTCTATTTAATTATTTTTTTCTTCTTCCCTTTTCTTTTTTTAACTCCTTTCTTTTTATTATAATGATCTCCTTTTGAAGGATTTTTTGATTTTTTGGAGTTAATCTCTCTTTTTCTTTTGTTTAATTTTTGTAATTTTTAAGAAGGAGTAAAGATTTTTTTTTAAGATGGCTCCAAAGCGTCCAGTAATTCCTACAGCTCCTAAGGTGGTTTCTTCTTCGGTGTTATCATCAGTGCAACAACCTAAATCAATAGCTTCACCCTCTTCCTTGGTACAGCCAATAATTGTGAAGGATTTGCAAGATATGATGGGAAATGTTATATCTCAAATTAGGGCAGAAATGAAAGAGATTTTAGAAGCAAATAATAAGATTTTGAGGCAAGAGATAGTTTTGGCTCTAAAAGGAGTTGCCTCTGTTCTTGAAAAGCTGAATTCTCATGTAGAAGAGGTAGAAGTAAAAGTGGAATTGATGGAGGGAAAATTTAAAAGCATGGAAAAAGAAACGGAAAATGAGATTCTTATGCTTCAATATAGACAAATGGAATATGCCTTAAGAATCCGAGGTTTGGGAGAGTCTGTGCAAGGAGATCTGAGAGAGATGGTTGCAAAGGACTTTGCTGTGATTTTGAATAAAGAAAAACTTAGTGAAATTGAAAAATTATTTAGAGTTAACTCTGTGGTGGCAGTGCAAAAGAATTTGCCAAGAGATGTGGTAATTTACTTTGGGAAAAGATCCCTGCGCAACGAAATTATACAAGCTTTTTATAAGAAGAGATTTCAAATTGCTTCACAAGATGTTATAATTCTAAAGGAGATCCCATCTAAAATTTTAAGAAGAAGAAAGGAGTTTGCTTTTTTAGCAGATGAACTTAAAAAGAGACGAATCTTGTTCAGATGGGATGTTCCGATTGGAATGGTGGTGAATTACCTGGGGATATGTTATAGACTTAATACTGTTTCTCAAGCAAAAGACTTTTATACTTCGGTCCTGGGGGTATGTTCATCGCCATCTATTAAGTTTAAAGCTTTGGAAGAAAAGAAGGTAGAATTGCAGTCTGAAGAGCCTATACTTATGAAAATTGGGAAACCTCAGTTTGAGGGGCCTCAACAAGTTGAGATGGAGGAGCAGAGGACAACTCGTGCAACATATAATCGTAAAGAAAAAGAGCAAAAGAAGAAGGAGTTTAAGGAAGCCTCACAAGTATTGGCTCCTGAGTCTGCGGGAGAAGCAGGATTTATAAACTTTTTGGAGCTACCTTTAAGGGCAGATTTCAAAGCACTTCTTTCGAGATTTATGGATAAAAGAGACTGACAAGAATGGAGATCGAATGAAAATTCTAGATAAGAAGTTTAAGTACTTAGTTTAAGTATTCAAAAGAGTTCTGAGTCTGTGGGAGAAGCAAGATTTACAAACTTTTTGGAGTTAGCTTTAAGGGCAGTTTTCAAAGCACTTCTTTTGAGGTTTATGGATAAGAGAGACTGATAAGGAATGTGTTTATTGTGGATGGAATTTGTTATTGGTAAAGATTTAAATGTGTATAAGGGAATTTTAATGGTTTATGGACAAGAGAGACTGATAAGGAATGTGTTTATTGTGGATGGAATTTGTTATTGGTAAAGATTTAAATGTGTATAAGGGAATTCTAATGTTTTAAGTAATGTTCAAATTTGTGTTTTGGAGGGAGTTTATAAAGAATGATGGATAATAACATAAGTATGATATGAAAAGGTTCAGAGTATATTATAATGTGTTTAATGATTGGGTTTATTATTATTATTATTATTATTATTATTATTATTATTATTATTATTTTTAAGAGAAGATAACTTGTTTAATTAAATGTACCTAGATTTGTTTAGGATTTATATGTCTTTTAAGTTTTTTTTTTTGATAGGAGAGAAGATTATGGAGATTGAATGAAAATCTTAGATAAGAAGTTTAAGTTTAAGTATTTAAGTATTCAAAGAGTATTTAGTTTTAATGGTATAATGAAGGTATATATGTTTATTTTTGTGTTCTAGGATAAAGAAAGAGGGAGAGATTAGATTTTATATTGTAGGTATAGATATTCAAAGAAAGTAATGTTTAAATTTGTGTTTTGGAGGGAGTTTATACAGAATGATGGATAATAATATTAATTTAATGTATTTAGATTTGTTTAGGATTTATATGT